ATGCATGGTTGTCGGCGGCACCCGCTGCGCGGGTCTGAGAGTGATATGCATGCACGCCGTGACCGCGTCATGGTCACTGGACGCAAGGTGTCTGATCTGATGCACTCTTCCCGTACTCCCCTCCAGAATGCCCGCAAAGAAAATGTAGTCGAGGCGTCTGGGCTGGTGGAGGTGGTTGTAGGGATTGTAGGGGTGGTAAGTCGGTGTCGATATATCCTGGCTCGGAGGCTGCATTTCCTGCTCGCTTAACCACTGCAGCAACATTGCCCCCCGGGCCGTCTTATGCTGAAGCGTCGACCATTCATTCCTGCCAACTTCCGCTCTCACAAAGGTCTCGTTAAGATCCACCATGAAGATCCTGCTATGGTGCTTCATGGACTGTAGGTCTGCCCAACTAGCCGTGCGTTGCCCTGTTTCCAGGAGTGTTGCTTTCGGTGGTAGGTGAACGTTCAGGACTCCCATTTTTCCTCTGGCGGTCTTGACCGTAACTCCAAGCGCATCGGCAGCCACTTCCCTGTGGACTATCTTGCCAAAGCTCTGCCGAACTGCCAGCATTCTGCCTCTCCACTCTGAACCTCTTGCCCGCAACTATGCGCCACTTGTCCCTGCCCTTGCCCGTTTCAACCTCCATGATCCCTGGCGGGCACGACACTTCCTGGAGCGCCAGTATGTCCACATGTCCCAGCCCCAGCGCTGGTAGGAGCCCAAACATCTCTGCCATCCTATCCGTCGGCATCCCACCTACATTCCACGTCATGACTTGCACTTCTTTCTCAGGTTCTCTGTGGCGGAAATCGTCTGTTGCTCTCGGTCATCACTCCTCCGCCTTCTTGTCTTGCTCCTTCCCCTGCTGCTTCTGCTGCGTATGTCAAATCCCTCCTGCGCCTGATGACGGGGCTTCCCTCTACCCTTTCTTCTCTCCTCTCTACACGCACCGGGCTGCCGCTGTTTTTGCTTGGCGCATCCTCGTCTCCTCTCTCAGGAAATGAGGCCCCTCTGATCGGTGCACTCTGCAGGGGTCCCTGTTCAAGTGATGCCCGCTCAGTGCGATCTGCTAGATCGGCTCCTGCTGTACTTTGCCTCTCTTTTTGCTCCGCCACGGTCAACAGATCTGGTCGAGAGGCTTGCTCAGGCGGGGACCCACAGAGTGGAAACAGGGCTAGCCTCAGCTTGAGCTCGTGTTGTGGCCGCCACTGCCGCCAGCTTTTGGCGGAGGCTCCGGCTGCTGCGCGTGTGCACTCATTCCAATCGGCCATTCAGTCACCGCGGCTCTGTCATCAGAAACTGCGCAGGTGGACCCGGTTGCATCAGCCTCCTCAACTTCCTGTACGCCTCCGAGCAAGCCTCCAAGCAGCATTGTCGTTGTGCACATTCTGTACGTGTTGCGTCTCTGGCTGGTCTCCCCAACACCCATCTCTTGAGCCATGGCTGGCAGGGCAGTCGCCAGGAGCAGCTCCAGTTCCTCTTCAGCTGCGGCCAGTCGGTGTCAGTTTATCTGGTTTACCAGGCCATGCCACCGGTCCAAAAAAGCTTTGATCGTCTCCCGCGTGCGCAGGCACACCGCCGACGAGGATGTTTTCAGTGGTCGGCTGCATGGCGCAGCCAGCGACCCTTGTGCCTCCGATCATCACAGCGCCCCTTCGATAGTCCGCTCGGACTGGCGGCGGCTCCACGCGCTTGCCTTGCTTCTCCAGCCCTGGCTCTCCGTCGAACCTCAGGCGGCTGGGAGACTGCTGCCCAGATGAACATGTCCTTGCCGTCCTTGGACTTATGGCCCGATCTGACCTGGAGCTTCCTGGTGGCCTCCACCGCCTCTATCGCTCTTCTTGTCATAGACGCCGAGCTCTCGTTCCCCACGCACTGCAGAGGCGCTACAGCGAGACGGCAGGCCCTCCGTCCTCTTCCGGGGCTCCCAGGCCCGTCTGTCTCCACATGGTCGGTTGGCCCGCTGCCCGCTCTGCTTCTAGTGCTTCGAGTCTTTTGAGTATGTCCTGGATGTGTCGCTCTTGCGTGTGACCTCGATTCACTTGTTCCTCCAGCTTTTCTTGCATGGCATCCATCTGGCGCCCCATGGTCTTCTGACGTGCGTCCACAGTTCTGATCAACTCCAGTGCGGACCCCACTTTGTGAGTAACCTCACTTTCCATGTCACCGATTCTTTGCTTGAGCTCTGCCATTCCTCCCGTCACTGTGGCGCCATGGCCGCACTAAGTTGGGCCGTGAGCTGCTCGAGGGTGAGGGATGTTCCCACCGAGGTGGATCCAGATGCCGCCAGCGGAGCTTGGCTTTGCACATCCCAGCGGGTTCTCTTACTGGGCGAATCTTGGTTGACAGTGACTTTGGGTTCGTTGCTGAGGTCGTCGATGTCGACTTGGATGGGGGTAGCCACCGCTCGTCTGAGGTCCGCCTCTTGCTCCGTCGTCGTCGACGCAGCGTGGCGCGCTGCCGCCATGAGGCCACCCTGCAGGTCCGAAGCCGCCCTGGTCGAGGATCAGCGCCTTCAGCTGGAACACGCAAAGGTTGCCACACGAGAGCATTGTCCGGGATCCCAAGGCACCGGCTCAGCAATGCTATGCTCGACGAAGCTAGGCAGGGATTACACAGGTACGGGGAGTGCGCTCAATTTTCAGGGGGAAGGCCCCTTGTCTGGCAAACAGCTGCTCGGATTGCCCAAGCCCCCCCCCCCAAGGGACGTCCACCTAACCCCCCGACAGAGCCCACTCTCCGCCGAGGTGAACAGGCCGCCCTGGGGGCTCCACATGGCAAGCCACCGGGAGCGGCAGGAGACTTGAGCCAAAATGGCTACTGCTTCTTCCTTTCCGTCTTTCTTTCCAGGGCTACCCTCTGGGCAGCAGGTCCTTTTCAAAACGCCTGGTTCCCAGAGTGCTCTTGAGAATCAATCTATGTGGTTGCCGGATACATCTAATTAATGTGAAGTCCGTCTCAAACTTCTGGTGGAGGCTCAAGCCATGAAACCGTACAAGTAGGGTTTATAGTTTAGGGGCATAATAGAGGGGCATAATACAGGCTTGTAAAGGGAAATGGACAACTGGAAACTATTATTCAGAATTGAATATGCTGGCAGAACCCGGCAATTAGCTCGAGCGGCACTAGAGGCACCATCAGCAGCACTAGCTGCAGCAGCAGCAACGACGCAATTCCAAGATGCGAATGATAGCAATACCTACTGGTTCTTGGTAGGTATAAAGGAAGATAATCCCTATATAATGTTTTCCCGTACTCCCTACGAAGAACCAGTAAAAAATACCAGTAATGACAGCAATCAGAAGAGTGTGAGCTATAGTCTAAACTCCTAGCATCCCCCTTAATGACCCCTATACTACTCCCCTATATAACCCCCTATATATCTTTTTTGGAGTTTAGACTCTAGCTCATGTGATACAAAAAAAGTTTCTTGGCCTGACTTTGTCGCGCGGACCCGCAAGGAAGGCAGGCGCCTGATCACAAAACCAAGGTTTTATTCCAAATGAGGGGGTACCTTAAAAAGGGGGCTTATAGGGGCTATATAGGGTTATTATAGGGATGTATGCGTGTCTATATGTATATGTATATATAGAAAGCAGCAAAGAAAGTAAAGCCCAAAAATTGGGCTGAAAAGGGGCGGCAAGTACCAGCGGCTATCGGCATGAAGGTCTTCAACTCGCACTCCATTTAATTGTCTTTTCCATCTGATTCTCCACTATAACCTCTGTATAACAGCTACATAGTAAAGTAGTTGACGTGTCTGCTTTGTAAACAACAACCTCAGAGTCGAGCAATCGCTCCCGCAAGCAGCAGCAACAATAGCCCTGCACCTGCAAAGGAATGGGTGCTGCCTAAAGCATAATGGAAGAAAAGCTAAGACGCTCATGTCTATTTGCATTGCTCCTGCGCCTCGACTACGAAGGAAGGGCCGCACGCCACCTTGGGAAGTCAGCAGAGCTGCTCTCTGCGAGTAAGAGTTACGAGGACCATGCGAGAAAGGCTGAGCCTCCTACCCATATGTCTAGAAGTCATGGCTACCATAGGCTTTTTGGCAGAACAGTCAATGACATGAAAGAGTGAAATCGCTGAGGGACAGCCTTCTGAACATATCAGCCACGTCCACACTCGCGTGCATGTCAATAAACTGCTTGAAACTTTTAACGCATGAGTGGAGCCAGTCAAATTGCAAGGAGTCAGGCGCTCAAGGTGCAGATTGCAACAGGATGCAAGAGGATGCAAGAGGTCGACTGCACACCCTCTGACATGTTTTCACCGTCTATGCGCTGAAAACTATGACTGACGCTGTCATGTTGGGTGAAACGCGCGAAAAAGCTTAAGTACAGCATCCATCTTCCTCTTGAAATCATTTCGTGGAGTCGGGATCACCGTCATCTGAAACAAAAACATAGTCTTGCAAGCTGCCGTTTTGAGATGAGGCTGTGCACAACCACGGCAGACGGCACGAGATCCCTCTTAGCTCAACAAGGCTTCAAATGGCATGCGGCTATCGGAATTCTCAAGAAGACACGTAACGGTATCTTCACTTGTTGAGAAGCTCAGTCTTCTTTTTCTCTTTGGCCTTCAAAGCACGGGAACTAGGAATTTGTTGTAGAAATCTGGGTTGCTGTTAAGGA